ACTCCTCATGAGTAACATGACACCCTTTGTTCTACCCTGTCTGACCTCGGTTTCCAGCCGTCTTCTGCCGACCCGTCGCTGTTTGTTGGTCGTGGCTCCATACCGTTCTTTGTACTGGTCTACGTCGACGACCTGGTTTTCGCCACTGCTGACAGGGTTGCTTTGGCTGACGTGAAGCACGAACTGCAGAAGAGACACGCTTGCACTGACCTTGGTGAGCTGCGCCACTACCTTGGCTTGCAGATCACCAGGGACAGAGCCGCTCGCACCATTACACTCTCACAGTCACACATGGTGCAGCAGGTCCTTCAGCGGTTCAAACTTCAGCACTCCACCTTACAGCGCACACCTCTTGCTGTTGACCACAGACTCAATGGACCCTTTCCTGACGAGCCGTTTGAGCCTAGTGGTCCCTACGCAGAGCTTGTGGGCTGAATCATGTACCTAATGACTTGTACTCGCCCAGACCTCGCCTTCCCTCTCAGCATCCTTGCTCGCTTTGTTGCGTCAGGGAGACACCGTCCAGTTCACTAGACAGCTGCTGTGAGGGTGGCGAAGTACCTAGCGACGACATCAGGTGTGGGGCTGGTTCTTGGAGGGCAGCAGCCTGTTGTACTTACTGGACACTGTGACTCTTCTTACGCTGACGACGCCGAGACTCACAGGTCTACTCAGAGGTAATGCTTCAGCCTGGGCTCTGGAGCTGTTTCGTGGAGGTCCACGCGTTCCTCCTCGGTCTCGACCTCTACCGCTGAGGCTGAGATCTATGCTGGAGCCATGGCTGCACAGGAGCTGCGTTGGTTGACCTTCTTGCTCACCGACCTTGGTGAGCGGCCGAGCTCTGCACCGACCTTGTTCACTGACAACAAGGCGTCGATTCTCCTCTGTCGGGAGCCGCGACTGGAGAGCAGAGTGAAGCACATCAACGTCAGGTACTTTCTTATGCGAGAGTTGCAGAGGCGTGGACAGGCTCGCTTCGACTTTGTTGAGTCTGAGGCCAACACTGCAGACATCTTCACCAAGGCGCTTCCGCCTTGTGACCACCAGAGGTGTTGTGTGCAGTTGGGTCTCGTTGACACAGGTTCTCGCCTTGCGTAGTCTTGAGTTCTCTGCTTGCTTTGTTTGTACGCTTTATATATACCTCTGTGAAATCTTGAACTAGCCTTGTGGCTCTTTTGCTTGTGCTCAGAGTGTGTGGTGACATTGTGATCCACCCTGAGCTTTGTTGCTTTGTGACGGGTCGTGTGACCGTATGTTGTTGGTTTGCTTGACACCCCTCACTTAGGCTATGGGGGTGTTGTCAAACATATATGCTATAGTCTATCTAGGCTGTAGTGGGGTAGTTCTTATAGGGTACAACACTTTTAGGTTTCTTACATGTACCCACCTGCTTGCTAGTTCAGTCATTCATTCGTTCCATATTCTAACATAGTATTCTGAGCAGGTTCTCTCGTGGGAACGTTTTTTTTAGGGCCCACCACGAGAACTTTTTTTTTCCTGCCCGAAGCGCGCCTCGCGCCCGCCTTACCTGCGCCGTCGCGCGCCCTTCCCTAGCTGGCCCGTCGCGGCCCTGCCTCAGAAGGCCCGTCCCGGCCCCTAGATGCCCGTCGCTGGCCCGTCGCCACGCGTCGCGGCCCTGCCTTAGCCGACCACTGCGGCCCCGCGCTCGCCCATCGCTGGCCCGTCCCGGCCCGACCCGGCCCGTCTCGGCCCGTCTCGGCCCGTCCCGGCCAGTCGCCGGCCCGTCCCGGCCCGTCGCCGGCCCGTCCCGGCCCCCTTTGCCGCCCGTCGCCGCCCGTCGTCGGCCCGTTCGCCGCCCGTCGCGGCCCGTTCGCCGCCCGTCGTCGGCCCGTTCGCCGCCCGTCGCGGCCTCTGCCCTGCAGCCGCCCGTCGCGGCCTCTGCCCTGCAGCTGTCAGTCGCGGCCTCGACCTGTTCTCTGCCCGTCGCGGCCTCTGCCCTGCAGCCGCCTGTCGCGGCCTCTGCCTTGCAGCCACCCGTCGTCGGCCCATTCGCCGCCTGTCGCGGCCCTACCCTGCAGCCGCCCCCTGTCGCGGCCCTGCCTAGCTGCCGCCCCAGTCGCGGCCCTGCCTTCGCCGCCCGTTGCGGCCTCTGCCCTGCAGCCGCCCTGTCGCGGCCCTGCCCTCAACCGCCAGCGGCGGCCCTGCCTTGCACCCGCCCCTGGTAAGCACCCGCCCTGCCCTGCCGCGCCACGCCGCCTGCTGCCGCGCCGCACTGCCCGGAACCGAGCCGCGCCGCCCTGCCGAGCCGCGCCGCCCCACCGAGCCGCGCCGCCCAGCCGAGCCGCGCCGCACTGCCGAGCCGTGCTGCTCCTCTGCTGCCACTACTGCTACTTCTGCTACTACTGCTACTGTTGCTCCTGCTGCTACTGCTGCTACTGCTGCTATGGCTAGCCCTACTGTTCTCACATTTGATGCTGAGGGGCGTGCAGTTGACTTTGACGTGTGGGTTGACGACCTGCAGCTCTTTCTTCAGTGTGACTCTAAGGATGGGTTATCCCTTTTTTATCACACGTCCAATGTCTCTACTGCTCCTGCTGCCACTGCTGACAGTACGGTTCGCTCGTAGTGGACCACTCGTGACGCTATTGCTCGCCTTGCTGTTCGTAGTCACCTGCCCCCTGCTGAGCGTGCGCATTTTGGCCAGTACAAGACTGCCCAGCCTTTGTACGACGCTGTAGTTGCGCGCTACTCCTCCCCTGCCACTGCTGCCCTCAGCCGCCTCATGCTGCCGTACCTTTTCCCTGACCTTGCCGCCTTTGCCACAGTTGCTGACCTCATTACTCACCTCCGCAGTAGTGACGCCCGCTACCGCGCTGCCCTTCCCACTGAGTTATGTGCCAAGAACCCCCCCCCCATGTACATCACTCTTTACTACCTAGTCACCCGCCTCCCTGACTCCCTTGCTTCAGTCAGGGACCACTTTCTCTCCCTTTGCCCCACCGAGCTCACTGTCGACCTGCTAGAGGAGCGCCTCGCTGCAGCTGAGAAGAGTATCTTAGCTGTAGGTGCTTCTCGCGGCGACCGTCGCACCCCTTTCTTTGAGGGGTGTTCCCCTGTCTCCCTTCTCCCCTCTGTTGCTTCTGCTGCTGCTGTCAACCTCGTTGGCATTGAGGAGGTCGGGGCTGCGTCTGCTCCCAGTGGGAGGCGCCGCAACAGCAAGGGCAAGGGGAGCAAGGGTGGTGGAGGGGACGGCGGGGGCGGCGGCGGAGGCGGTGGAGGAGGCGGAGGGGGTGGCGGTGGAGGTGGGGGTGGTGCTGGGAGTGGGGGCTTCAGTGGCAGCGGTGGAGGTGGTGGAGGCAGCGGCGGAGGTGGTGGAGGCAGCGGCAGCGGTGGTGGAGGCAGCGGCAGCGGTGGTGCTGGTCGAGGTGCAGCCGCGCAGCGTGGAGGCTTTGGTGGTGGCCAGCGCCAGCAGCAGCCGCGTTCCCGTGAGACCCCGTCGGTTCAGCAGCTTCGTGAGTGGTACGCTGGGCGTGGGAGGTCTGGGGGTGCTGGTCCCTGCACTTACGTTCTTCGCACCGGCGGGCGCCGTGGGGAGACGTGCAGGCTGCCACACACTGCGCAGCGCTGCTTTGGTCGCCTGACTGACGCCTGGCGCGCCCAGTTTCCTGACGCTGTTGAGCTCCCTCACTGGGGTGATCTGCTTTGGCAGAATGTTGCTATCTTTGATCTTGATTTTGATGCTATCCTTGTTGCCATGTATGCTTTGACTGATAGTGCTGACGGTGACTGTTACCTGAGTGTCCCGCCCGACCCGGGCATTGAGGCTGCTGCTCTAGGTGCTAGTGCGTCTGCTACTCCAGGTACTGGTGAGTCTGGTGCTTGCACACTTTCACACTTGACTCTGGTGCTTCGCGCTCCTTCTTCCGCGACAGCACCACACTCACGCCACTCAGTCGGCCTGTCGCAGTCTCCCTGGCTGACCCCTCTGGGGGCCCAGTCCTTGCGCACTCTTCCACGGTTCTACCGTGTCCTGCGGCCCCGTCGGGCTTGCTTTCGGGACTCCACCTCCCTTCGTTCTCTACGAACCTGGTGAGTGGAGCTGACCTCCAGGACGCGTGGGTTGACCAGTTCACCCCTGGAGGTCAGCGTGTGACCCACTGCACTTGCTCTCGGACGGGCCGCCACCTGGCCACATTCACCCGTCGGCCTGGGTCGAGTCTGTACACACTGACTACTGCGTCTCCTCCGGTCACTGCGTCTGGTCAGGTAGTCGCGTCTAGTCAGGTGTTTGCTGCCGCGTCCAGGTCTAGTCCAGAGTCTGCCCCCTGCTCGTGTCGTCCTCTGTCGCACGAGACTCTCCTTTGGCACCACCGCCTTGGTCACCCCTCCCTGCCTCGTCTTCAAGGTATGGCCTCCCGTACCCTTGTCTCGGGTCTCCCCCGGTCCCTCCCTCCCCTTCCTCCGGGGCCTGCCCCTACCTGTGTTCCGTGTGTCGAGGGCCGGCAGCGCGCCGCTCCTCACTCCTCCACGTTCCCTCCGACGGAGGCTCCCCTGCAGACTCTTCACATAGACGTGTGGGGCCTAGCCCGCGTCCGTGGACAGGGTCACGAGCGTTACTTCCTGCTGGTCGTTGACGACTACTCGCGTTACACCACATTCTTCCCCTTGCGCAGCAAGGGTGAGGTCCCTGAGGTGTTGATCGACTGGATCCGCGGTGCCCGTCGTCAGCTCAGCGAGCGTTTCGGCTCGGACCTCCCTGTTCTGCGTCTGCACTCAGACAGAGGTGGTGAGTTTTCCTCCGACCTTCTGAGGGCCTTCTGTCGTCTGGAGGGCATCCGCCAGACGTTCACGCTTCCGGCCTCCCCACAGCAAAATGGGATTGCTGAGCGCCGCATTGGCATGGTCATGGACGTCGCTCGTACGTCCATGATCGATGCGGCTGCTCCCCATTTTTTGTGGCCGTTCGCGGTTCACTACGCTGCGCATCAGATCAACCTTCAGCCTCAGGTCTCCTTGCCGGAGACCACACCTACTCTGCAATGGACGAGGAAGGTTGGCGATGCGTCTGTCTTCTGTGTCTGGGGATCTCGAGCTTTTGTCCGCGATACTTCAGCGGACAAGCTGTCCTCCCGTGCCGTTCCCTGTGTCTTCCTTGGCTTCCCCCCTGACGCACCCGTGTGGCAGTTTTACCACCCCACCTCGCGTCATGTTTGGCCTCTCAGGACGTCACGTTTGACGAGTCGGTGTCTTACTACCGTCTCTTTCCCTACCGCACTGCCTCTCTCCCCCCCCCCGCCCCTCTTCCTAGCACCAGGTGCTCCTCCGGTAGACCCCCTCCCCCCTCAGGGTCCTGCCCCCTCAGGTGTGTCCCAGGTAGACCCTGCAGAGCTGGTCGAGGTAGCTGTCAACTCAGGTGCTGCTAGGGGTTCTGAGCCTGCGGGTGCGGGGACTGGGGGTGCTGAGCCTGGGGTTTCTGTGTCTGAGGGTGCGGACCCTGGGGGTGCTGAGCCTGAGCGTGTGAAGCCTGGGGGTGCTGAGCCTGGGGGTGCTGAGTCTGGGAGTGCTGAGCCTGGGGGTACTGAGCCTGAGCGTGCTGCGTCTGGAGGTCCTCCGGGTGTCCCATCGCGGCGGGAGCCCCTCTCTCCACAGCAGCTTCGTGAGTGGTACGCTCGGCGCTGTCGAGGTGCTGCTGGTGCTGCTGGTGCTACTGGTGCTGGAGGTGCTGCTGGAGCTGCTGGAGATGCTGCTGGTGCTGGAGTTACTGGAGGTGCTGGTGCTGTTAGAGGTCCTGCTGGTGTTGGAGCTGCTGGAGATGCTGGAGCAGCTGGTCCCGGAGGTGCTCGTACTGGAGGTACTGGAGCTGCTGGGGCTGGTGGTGCTGCAGGAGTTGGAGCTGTAGGTGCTGGAGCTGTTACTACTGGAGGTGCTGCTGGAGCTGGAGCTGTTGGAGGTACTGGAGCTGGTGGTGCTGTGGGAGTTGTTGCTGGAGACCCTGGAGCTGAGGGTACTGGTGCTGTCTCTGCTGTTTCAGGAGGCGCTGCGCGGCCTCGGCAGTACTACATTCCGCTCCTTCAGCAGGTTCTTGGTCTCCCGCCTTCTCCTGGTCCTACTCCTCCTTTACTGAGTCCACCGCCTGTCCAGTCCCAGTCGCAGTTACAGCCGACCTCTCCACTGCCTGGTCCTTCTCCTTACTCGGGACCGACTAGAAGTCTTACGGAGCGTCGTGAGCCTGAGTCGCGTCCTATGTCGCCTGAGTCTCGTCCTGCGTCACCAGAGTCTTGTTCTGCGTTACCTGTCTGCACTGTTCGCGCTGGTCGTCGTGTTTCGCGTCCGCGTCCTCCTCCTGTCCCTGGCACTCACTCTATGACACCGCGTCCTTCCACTGCTCCACAGCGTGTCCCTCTGCCGTCTCCTCTTGCGTCCTCTCTTCCTGACGGTCCGGACCCGGAGTTTGACTCCCTTCGTGCTGCTAGTCCTACTGTCTCGCGCTTTCTGGCCACTTCTGTCACTGACCCTTTGTTTGAGTCCACTGCTGCGTCTGCTCTCGTTGCTGAGCTTGTTGACTTTGCTGCAGCCTGTCGCCTAGACTTCGCCACTAGTCTTGTTGCTGAGTCTGCGTCTGCGTCTGTCTGTCCTCCGTCCGTCGGGGGTGAGTGTGCTCTTGGCACGGCCGTTCTTGAGGACAGACAGGAGGAGTTTGAGTGCTTTGCCACTGCTGTACCTCATCTCGTGTCCATGCTGCTTGCCCCTGAGGGAGACCCGGATGCACCAGACATCCCGACCCCACGCTCTTACGCAGAGGCGATAGAGGGTCCCTACTCCTCTCAGTTGCAGGCAGCTATGGACGCCAAGATGGCTTCCTGGAAGTCCACAGGCACCTACGTCGACGAGGTTCCCCCACTTGGGGCGAACATCGTCAGTGGCATGTGGATCTTCAGGGTGAAGCGCTCGCCGGGTTCTCCGCCTGTCTTCAAGGCGCGTTACGTTGCACGTGGCTTCAGTCAGCGACAGGGAGTTGACTTCTTCCAGACCTTCTCCCCTACCCCGAAGATTACCACTCTTCGGGTACTGCTGCATGTCGCCGCTCAGCGTGACTACGAGCTCCACTCGCTTGACTTCAGCACAGCCTTCCTACAGGGCAGCCTGCACGAGGAGATCTGGCTGCGCCGCCCACCTGGCTTCACTGGGTCGTTTCCTGCTGGTACCCAGTGGAGCCTCCGGCGGCCAGTCTACGGTCTCCGCCAGGCACCCCGTGAGTGGCACGACACACTGAGGACGACTCTTGCTGCTCTTGGTTTTGCTCCTTCCACTGCTGACCCGTCGTTGTTTTTACGCACTGACACCACTCTGCTACCGTTCTACGTTCTCGTGTACGTAGACGACCTCGTCTTTGCTACTGCTGACACTGAGGCACTCGCTCACATGAAGTCTGAGCTGCAGAAGAGACACACGTGCACAGACCTGGGTGAGCTGACAAGCTATCTTGGCTTGCGGATTACCCGGGACAGAGCACAGCGCACCATTACCTTGACTCAGTCACACATGGTGCAGCAGGTCCTTTAGCGCTTCGGCTTCACGTACTCCTCGCCACAGTCCACTCCTCTGTCTACCGGTCACTCGCTCTCAGCTCCACCTTCGAACGAGTCTGTAGAGCCGAGTGGCCCGTATCCAGAGATTGTGGGCTGCCTCATGTACCTGATGACTTGCACACGACCTGACCTCGCATACCCTCTCTGCCTTCTGGCTCGTTACGTGGCTCCCGGTAGGCACCGAAAGGTGCACTAGGATGCTGCGAAGAGGGTGTTGCGCTACTTGTGCAGTACGTCGGGCATGGGGCTTGTGCTTGGAGGACGGGCTCGAGTTGTCCTCACTGGTCACGCAGACGCCTCCTGGGTTGACGACTTGGCTACGCAGCGGTCGTCACAGGGTTACACCTTCAGCCTTGGCTCCGGTTCTGTCTCTTGGCGGTCTACCCGCTCGTCTTCTGTTCTCAGCTCCAGTTGTGAGGCTGAGATCTACGCTGGGGCCATGGCTGCACAGGAGTTACGCTGGCTCACCTACCTGCTGACCGACTTGGGAGAGGCGCCTCGTTCTCCTCCAGTTCTGTACGTCGACAACAAGGCCATGCTTGCCTTGTGTCAGGAGCACAGACTGGAGCACAGAACGAAGCACATTGCTCTGCGCTACTTCCTTGCTCGAGAGTTGCAGCAGCGTGGCCAGCTTCGTCTTGCTTACGTGGCCTCACAGGCCAACACTGCTGATGTTTTCACCAAGGCACTCCAAACTTGTGATCATCAGCGTTTCTGTACTGTTCTAGGCCTTGTACCTACTGTGCCTCACTTGCTTACTTCTTGACTCTGCTTGTACTATACTCTATATACATATACCTGCATGCTTACACTTGCTAGGTTGTGTTCACTGTATTGTTTGTTCTCCTTTATATAACTCTGCATGTGAATTGGCCTTGTGGCCATTTGCTTGTGCTCAGACTGCGTGGTGACTTTGTGATCCACCATGAGCTTGCTTTGCCTTTCTTGACTGGTCTTGTGACCTCTTGTTCTCCCCCACTTTGCCTATGGGGGTGTATCAAACATATATGCTATAGTCTATCTAGGCTGTAATGGGGTAGTTCTTATAGGGTACAACACTTTTAGGTTTCCTACATGTACCCACCTGCTTGCAAGTTCAGTCATTCATTCGTTCCATATTCTAACAGGTGTGTCAGACGTTCTAGTCTTAGTGATGTGTGTCATATGGGTACAATAGTTAGGGTTAGGTTTATGTACCCCAACCAACCTTAGTCAAACAATCCTTCTGTTCTTGACGCCAAGAATAGCAGAAAAGTGGCCAAAGTAGGGCCTCTTGTGTCGCAAAGTGTCGAGCCTGAGCCGCACCTAGCCCTAACCATTTTCTTTGCTCACCTAAGCGCTTTGTCAGATTTACCACAAAATGTGACGGAATTTTGTTTGCCGAGACCTAGGGGAGGAGCGTTCCGTCAGCTCTACTATTGCCCATGGGCAGAAAACAAACGATTATGACTTTTTGTTCTAGACACCTTTTCATTGAACGACCAGTCAGTCTTCAGAAAGCAATGGTGCAGAAATGTTAAAACCCCGACGTTATATCCTTCGAGAGGCGTAAACCCTAAACACGACGTCACATGGTGTTTAGAGTTGATGCCTCCTCGTCTACGGTTAAGAAAACAATGCAGGACCATTTTGCAGCCAGGGCCCAAATTTCAAGGGTATTTTACCCTTTTTGCCTTGCTCATAGGCCACTTTTTGGCAGTTACCCTTTTCAAATCAGGGTATGCAGATTTTTACCCTAGTGCAATCAGAATACGCTTAAAAGTACTCTTGTAGCTTTTCCAGTTACACTGACTGTATCAGGGTAGGGGTTCAACTACCCTTTTACCGGAACTTTTCCGTACCGCGGATTCCGCCACAGTCCGCGCCACGACGAAATGCTCCACGGTCCCACTGGACCATTTGTTGGATACACCCACTGGCGCGCCAACGTACATTCAGGGCGGATGGCACCGCACACCTACGATTGGTCCGTTGAGCGACATTGAAGCCAACGCACCCAGTTTCCGTGCGTCACGCAACATCGCGCATTGCCAACGGAGGCAAATTGCGCGCCAGGTGGGGTACGTGCTGTCGTTTCCACCACCTGGCAGTCACTGTGGCCTTGCAGCCATTGCCGTGCAGTTCCCTACCAGCGAGGGAACCTTGCTGCCTGAGGCGCCTTGGGCTTTGTGATTCCCGAGGGGTCTCTCAGGCTCTTGCCATTCTCTCGTTTCCCTCTCGTTTGTTGTTCCGAATGCCTGCCTCTGAGCCTGATCCGCCTGGTAGCACCAGGAACGGTCTCTCCGTTCTCGGTGTGTTACCTCGGCTGGCTGAGAACTATAGCGTCCCTATCTCTCAGCCTGCGCGTGAGCCATCCCCTGAATTTCTTGTCCGCACCGTTTTCCCGTGCGAGCGTTCGGCCTCGCCAAAGTCCCGGGAGCCACACCCGTCTCTCGAGCTTGTTCCCGATGGCGGCGAAGGCCCGTCGAAGCCGGCCACTACAGCCCCGTCCACAATTAGCTCCGCGCCCGCGAAGCGACAGCGTGTGGGCGTGACATACAAGCAGCAGAGGCTCTGGGGCGCCCCTCCTCCACGACAAGAGGCATCACCGCCACGCCGTGCTGCTCCTGCTCAGCCGAAGCCTCCAACCGCTTCTGCAGAGGCTGAGTATGAGTTGGTAAAAACGACTTTCGATTCGCAATGGTCAAAGAAATTCAGTTGGCTGCGCTTAATGCGCATGACTAACGGCAGGCCGTCATTGAAATGTGCCATCTGCATCAAGCACGGGGATCCAAACGCGCACACTGCCTACGGCGTCAGAGGTGAGGGTGCCCGAGACATGCAGCTAGGGAGCATCCGCGCGCACACATCAAGCAGAGCCCACAAGCAGGCCTTGGAAAACGAGGCCAAAGCAGACGCGGAAAAGGCGAAGCAAGCCACACTAACAAGGTGGCAGAGCACTGATGCAGCTACACGGCACATCATCCGCTGCCTCCACCTCGCGCTCTTCATCTGCAAGGCTGACGCGCCAATAGCAATGTTTGTTCCTTTGTGCTGGTTTCTGGCTAAGGAAGGACTGCCGGACCTTCCACCGTCTGGAGGGTACGGCGCCTACTACACCGAGTAAGTGCGGGTTCGTGGCGCTTGTGTTTGTTCCGTGACTCAAGCTGACCAGATGCTACTGCAACTTGTGTTCGTGTACCATGTGTGTTGTCCTCGCAGCTACGGATTCAAAGAGATGCTGCGCGCAACCTCCACTTACCTTCAAGAGACTCAACGCGGCCACCTTCTGGAATCCCCATATATAGGGATTCTTCTGGATGAGAGCACCGACCGGGTGAATGGCAAGCACCTGATACTGTATGCGACATTCTTCAAAGGGGTAACTCCGGTAACGGAGTTTTTAACTCTCATTACCGTGGACCGTGCCGATGCGGCCTCGCTAACCTCCGCTGTTGTGCAGTACCTTACAGGAATCGGGGTGGATCTCCAGAGGATTTCTGGAATATCTACGGACGGGGCGAGTGTGATGACCGGCAAGAACAACGGTCTAGTCGCGAGGCTGCGACTGCGCATACCACACCTGGCTTCAACTCACTGCGTCGCTCACATGTACGCATGTTGGATTCTGAGTTTTTTCCAGCACAGGATCAGTGACGCGCAAACCGTACTAACATGCTCCAGTTGAATGCGCAGGGAGGCATTGGCAGCTAAGGATGCGGCGGAGGCAGTCCCCGAGCTCGGCATGGTGGACGACGTGGTGCGTGCCTTCTCCGAGCACATCGGCCGCAGCAGCGTGGACTACACCAAGTTTCAGAATCTCCAGCGCGTCTACTGCCAGACGAATCTGGAGGCGCAGGGCATAAACGACGTGCGCTGGCTCTCCCGTGGCGAGGCGATCCAGCGGTTCCTTGACGTTCTGCCTGCCGCCATTGTCGTGCTGAAGGACTACAAGAAGGACTTGTACGAGGTAGTCACCTCGTTCAAGTTCCACTGGCTCATCCGCTTCCTCGCGGATGTGCTCTGGGAGCTCAACCAGCTCAATCTGCGCTTTCAGCAACGTCAGGTAACCAACTGACAAGCACAGTTGTACTTACACGCACGCCTACAATGCTCTTTCTGACCGCATGTCTTATGTGTGTGCAGGTGGACGTCACCCTCGTGGCGCACCTTGTACAACAGACGCGGATGCGCCTGAAGACGCGCTACTTCGACAGGTCCCCTGGTCACTTTTTTGGCAGCGGAGAGAAGATGCAGCTGCCTGACTTCATCAAGGCTCACCAGAAGATGGATAAGCGACAGATGAAAGCGGAAGGCGTGGACGCGGACGGCAACGCCGTCTCCTTCGAATTCACCCTGCACGAACGCCCCCTGCCAGGCCATGAGACAGACGGTGATGTAACCGCGTGCTTCGAGCTTTCGCTCAAGTTCATCAGCAAAGTGGACGCGGAGCTGGAGTGGCGCATGCGCGACCTCAACCTCCTCGAAGGCGCCAAGCTGTTTCGTACGGCGTCGTATGTGGCCGACGACACCCAGCGGCTGGAGTCCTTCAGGAAGTGGCTTGGCCAGCTCCACAAGCTGTACAACCACAAGCTGCCTGGTAAGCGTGTTTGTTAGATGGGGCGGGTATTAGTGATTGACTTGCGTAAACAGCTTTGCACCAGCTTGTTTCCCATCGCGCTTGTTGCTACTCATCACCCGGCCCTGTATTGTGGACTAATGCCTCCCAATCCTACCCGTATGTATGAGCGTCTGCCAATGATCATCCCCTTCCGCACTACCAGGGTTCGACTACAAGCGTGCCGGCCAGGAGCTCTGGATGTTTACCTCGACCATGTTCTCCCAGCACAACGGCGAGGAGTTTCATCAGGCGCTGGGGAACATGCTGCGCGACGAGGCGTGGCGTGCGTCGTTCCCCAACATCGTCCGGATGTGGCAGTCTGTCGCCGTGCTACCACTGAGCACGGTTGAATGTGAGCGCGGCTTCAGCAAGCA